CTGCTGAACCAACCAATGCGTTAATCAATTCGTGTGATAACTTTCGTGTTTGTCAAGATGGAGACCAAAGATAATAAACACGAGAAAATATATTTATTTAAGAAAGAGAATTCTATAACTACCTGAGAGGGACTAATTCTTAAAAACATCAAAAATATTTTCATTCTTACACAGTTACACTTACATACATTTCTCGTGAAATATTATTTTCTTTTTCCATCTAAAAAAATATAAAGCGTGAAAGAGAAAAATAAAGCGAAAAAGTATCATTGTTTTACGATTGCGTGGGATCTTTTAAAGGGGGCCAGCCATACACGATACATGGGATTGGAAATAACAATTGCGGCCCATCTTATCTTGGTTAAAAAGGATATCATTTATATATGTTAATAATGATTTATGATTATTTTGTTTAATTTATACCAATGAATTTAAATAATAAAAATAGCTCCAATGATGAGTTATACTTATTTCAACTTGTTCTTACCTGAGATAGGTGGGTGAGACAATCTTCGGGTAAGATCGGTGAGCCTCCTCTACTTGGTACATCTGCTGCTCCGAAATGGAATTAGTACTTGCAAAAGAGACTTCAATGCTTAAGTTAATTTTTGTAGATGTATGAGTCTCATATATATAATGCACCTTTGAGTCCTAACATTGTACTATACATGTCCTAGCTGAGATAGGTAACATGATGTGTGATAAGTGCTATGATTTCATTAAGTTTATGGCCTAATTTGAAGCACTTATATCAATTTTTCTTGCTTTAGACTTTGTTTGTGTATGTTGCAAAATGTTGGTTGTTGGGTTGTTATGTGCAAGATTTTGGGCAAAAATCAATTTTGCATAAGTGCGAAACAAATGTCACGTTGGGCGTGCCTTCACTGTGTTAGGTGCAACACAACCAGAGGGTTCTCCTTTCTCCACACCGAAGACAAGATTAGTGGTGCCGAGCATGAGAAAATGGAATAGCCTTCATATTGGATTAGCACCAAGTGTGATCCGAAAGACGTCAGACATGAGGAGATACACTTGTCTCTACCTGGGTTCACGCTAGGCATTGAAGGGTGTGGCATAAGGCGTGAGTCAAGTAGAGGTCCTCTACTTGATTGGGATCGGATGTGGATTTTACCACACCAAGCGTGAGAAAGCGGGACAATCTTTACCTCAATCACGTTGGGTGCGAGTGGTGTGGACAAGACAGAGAACTCTCTGTCTTGATGGCGTCAGGCGCCATTTAAGTAGCATCGAGCACAACCTTTATGTTATATGCTTGTTGTTTTATGGTGAACTATTGATGAATATTGATGACCATGATGTATGTATGATGATATATAATGATGAATACCTAAGTTGGTAGATGAATCGACGATGTCAAAATGTAAGTTATATATTGTATAATTGTTAAGTTGTGAAGTTGTAGACATGTGGTTGAAATACATGTCTTAGTTAAGATACACATATGCTATGGGTGAATTATGTTGTTTTAAAGTTGGTTTCGCCTTTAGGGTCTATGTGGATTAATATGAAGGTAGTTGATCCTAGTTGAATGACTAATCAAGTAAAGTACAAAGTCAGAGACTTGATCTTTAACTTATATTGGAGGGTTTTAATATTTGAAGGGTAGTCAGTAAGTTAATCTCATAGATGGCTTAGTGTTGCAAGTTAATGTCATGGTAGGTCCATACCCAAACTATCCTACATTGACATAGTATCACACTTCCTGGTTTAAGTAGCAAAGCCTGAGAAATCAAACTAAGTTGTCTATATCTGGCTCTCTTTGAGTCCTAACATTGTACTATACATGTCCTAGCTGAGATAGGTAACATGATGTGTGATAAGTGCTATGATTTCATTAAGTTTATGGCCTAATTTGAAGCACTTATATCAATTTTTCTTGCTTTAGACTTTGTTTTTAACTCAAAACATATCTAAATTGTTAGGTGATCACATTTTGTTTTTGAATCATGTTTTTAAGTAACTTACAAGTATTTGGTTGTTGTTTTGTAGTTTAGGAGAAAGCTAGGAAAGAAGGAAGGAAGTCAAGCACAAAGTGGTGAATTTGAAGTTGAAGGAATTTTTGGTTAAGTTCCCAGGCTAAGCCCCAGATCCACGCTTAGCCTCAGCATGGCAGAGAATCCCTGGAACAGAATTTTGATTCCCACGCTGAGCGTGGAACTGAGGCTTAGCGTGGATTGTGCTGACATGTCATTATTCACATAAGACAAAAGCTTTTATGACCTAAAAGTGGGATTTTCGAGAAAAGAAGCAAGGAGGATCATTCTTGGACTTTGTGTGGCGGCTGGAGAGCTCTGGAACCTTCAAGATCAAGCTTCTTCCTTTCTTCATCATTTGTAGAGTTCTACATGTCTATGTGTAGCTAAACTCACCCTTGTTGGGGTTTGATGTAACTAAACCCATTCTCATGTGTAAACTCTAAGCTATCAATCTAAGTTGTTATTCAGTTTTATTGCTCTTTTTCTGTGCATAATGCTTGTTATGGCTTGATCACCCTTAACTTGAACTTAAGGTTTTTAAGAGATTGAGAAATGATTTTAAACCTTTGACTTGAAATAGAGCAGCTAATGGTGCTTATTGCTAGAGATAGAGTAAATGCCATTGGTCTTTCTTAAGCTCTTGTTTTTAAAGCTGGTTTCTAGGTTAAACTATGCAAGAGATTGATAGTTTAAGCTAGTAACTTAGATGCCAACTTATAAGAGATTAGGGTTGGTTACTTTTGAGAGTGATTGATAAATTCTAAATAATAACTATTGTGAACTTAGTGATAAGCATGAGAGGAAGGTTTAGTGAAGTCAAACCCAACAATTTATAAATATTGCATTATAATCAAGTTTTGCACTCTAAGTGTTTACCAAAATACCAAAAAGAATTGTTATTACTTGTTTACATTATTTACTGCAGCAAATCAAACTCTTATTGCTTTTCGGTAGCTTAGTTAGTATAACAAGTGAAATTGCAAAGTGTTGCGCAGTCCCTTAAGAGACGATACTCATACTTTCATTAAACTACTTATACGATTTGGTACACTTGCCAAAGGAGATAACAATGTGGTTCGGTAGGGTCAAGCCTTTTAAACTATTCACCATAGTTGTAAGAGATCTTCTTACATATGTGACGATGCATTAATTGATAATATTTGTATGCTGAGAGGTTGATTATTATAAGGTTAATAAATGTTGAGCAAGTTGTTATGTTCTAAGTTGTGCTATTGTTGATATATGCTTTTGTTGCTTTTGTCGTATTGTTGTATGTTATTTCTATCATAAACTTACCTTTTTGCATCATGGATGAGACTGGGATAATCATACTTAATATGCGAATAGGACAAAATTAGGAGGTTAGTTGGTGTGATGGTGGCAAGTCAGGTTGGAGGTGACTTGTTTTGTATGACTCTTCTAGTTTAGTCATGTTTTGGAGTCCTTGACAAGACGTCTAAATGATATTTTGTAGTATTTTAGACTTTAATTTATATAGTATATGTATGAATTTTATAAGATGTAATTGTTCTATATATTTTACTTTATGCATGCTTTAGCTTTTGTTTCGATCAATTTGCAATAATAAGTGCGTTGACCTGACGATTCGTTACATCATCACTAAGCTACGTATTATTCAAGAACAAATAAAATATTTTTATTTGTATCTATTTTAATGACTTATTAATATTTATTTTATTAATAAATCTTATTAACATATTTTTTTTAGCTTTCTCTTTTATTTCTAAATATCATCTTATTAAATGACACATTACTTAAGTATGAATAAATGTTAAAACTTAATAATTAAAAAATGTCAATTTGATAAGAGACTAAAATTTGATATTTTTAAAATTTAATAAAACTAAATATTTTTATTGTAAAACAGAGACACCAAAACATACACATATTTGAGTTTCTTTAAATCATTTTTATAAACTATTTTAAAATATTATTAATTTTATAATTAAAAAATTGCATCATCCAGTATATAAGAAAATATTATTTATTTACATATATAAATAATATTAAATTCTTTAATAATATTTCTTTTAATGTTTAATTTACTTATTGATGTATTTATAATTTTATGAATACGATAAAATAATAACTATTGTGAACTTAGTGATAAGCATGAGAGGAAGGTTTAGTGAAGTCAAACCCAACAATTTATAAATATTGCATTATAATCAAGTTTTGCACTCTAAGTGTTTACCAAAATACCAAAAAGAATTGTTATTACTTGTTTACATTATTTACTGCAGCAAATCAAACTCTTATTGCTTTTCGGTAGCTTAGTTAGTATAACAAGTGAAATTGCAAAGTGTTGCGCAGTCCCTTAAGAGACGATACTCATACTTTCATTAAACTACTTATACGATTTGGTACACTTGCCAAAGGAGATAACAATGTGGTTCGGTAGGGTCAAGCCTTTTAAACTATTCACCATAGTTGTAAGAGATCTTCCATAAATTGAAACGTGAAATCGTGCTAGTTCGAATAAAAATGATCCATAAAACGAAATCCACCGTAAACAGCACGTATCTTGATATAATTAGGTTTTTTTTTCCTTGTTGATAATTGAGTTGGTTGGGATATGATAAAATCTTCTTCTTATCAGCTTATTTTATCTGTTGGAGAGATGGACCGACCTTCTGGGTTGACATGGTCTGAACCCATCGTTGCCAAGGTGAGTCCTGGTGCCGATGTGGGCGGTACATAACTCAATTACAGCTTAAATATTTTAACTTTAGGCCTTCAACATGTTAAGGTTTAGAATTTCAATTTAAGCAGAAATAAACTTTTGTCAAACAACCTCTTGGAAGAAGAATGATAGTTCTTACAGGAAAATGTATTAGAAATAATTTGGCGGTTGTGCAAAGTCGAAAAATTTTAAAAGTGTAATTTGTCTTATATTTGTCTTATAATGAAGTTTTATATCCGATTATTATGTGTATGTTTGAATATCAATTTAGTTACATTTAATAAAATCAAAAACATGTTTTGATGAAAAAAAGTAAAAGTCTTTGAATGTAATCTTCTTTTTCAGCTCAAGTTGAGTTTAACTAAATTGATTTTTAAAGATATTCTATGCTTTTATAAACCTTGTGATTTTTATAATTTTTGAGAAATTATTTATCATATTTTAGTACTTAATTATAATTATTAATAATTAAATTTTGTGTCATATATGAATTTTTAGTCAAGTTAATATTAAGGTACTTTATGAGTATGGTGTAATGATATGCTACTTATCAATAACATTTTTTATTATCAAATATTAAAATATTACACTTATCTATCAACTTTGAAATGTGTTTGAATTATAGTTAAAAAATTAAATTGAGTTGAATTTAACTTTTCAAATCAACTTTTAAATAAAAGTAATATCCTTTCAATTTTTGTTTCAACTAGAATTTGCTTATAATTTACACTCAATAAATAAATAAAAAAGAACTTTTTTAGCAAAACATATAAATATTACGTTTGAACCAACTAACTAAAGTTACAAATTTCAAACGTATAACCAAATTTAATTTTAGTATATGCACACTCTCATCTTAATATCGAGAGAATATATTTTTCTACTGACCGTAAAAGTGAGGAGGGTGAAATGGCTCGGACAGAAAACAGTCTCGACCGACTAACCATCTAGCCTTAAAAAACGTGAAAGATATAAAGACAGAATATATAAGCACATTCTAAGTTAAAAATGCTAGTAGGGTAGATTAGTAAAAATGTCTTGACTTGTAACCTATAGTTATGTCTGAACTTTTTAATAGTTTGACATACACGAGAATATTAAAATGAATCCATTAATATAAATGAATGAATTCAACTCAATTTGATTTTTTGATAGAGGGGACCCAACTTCCAAGCAATCGTTCCCTGACTAATTTACTTTTACATGATCAACATTTCCAAGACTCAACCACTGGGAAATGGACGCCTTTCATTGTGGATGCATACCTTTACAACTACGAAACTTGATCAACACTCATCTTTTTATCATTAGAAAACAAAAAAGACTACGCATATTTGTCTGCTACTGCACAAAAGAAATAAACGAATCAGAAAATTTTAAAATATAGGAAAGTGATAAAGAAAGATAAATTAGTGTATAATAAAAAATAAAGGTAGAATAAATTAGATAAAGAAGATAGGAAATATCATATTATATTAGTAGTTTTTTTTAAAGATAATTCATCATTTCTTTTATAACATAAGATGGTTCATCATTTTGCCATTATTACTCTGTTCTTGTTGTTATATTATAATAATGATCGACTCTAGTCTCTAGCCTTCGGAATTAGACAGGGCCAAATTAGCTTTTATTACGTCCAGATTGGAGTTTGTACATAATTTCTTAGCTCATATAATTGAACTTGGACAGGGAAGTTCATCTACAAGGTTGCCCATATCAATATTAAAAATTAGGAAAATTGTAATTCATTTTCTTCGACTCACATGCATTTTAGCAGTCAAATATTAGAAATTGTAAATTAATTTCGAAAATTTCAATGTGAACTTTCGGTTTGATATATGTTCATTAATTCAACGGAAGAGACATGTTTTATGTCCTCCTGAATCATCCAAAAACCAAGACCCATGCTACAAAAGTATGTATCAACCGAGAGAATTAATCTTCATCCTTCGAAGTTTAAGTTTTGTAATAAAACATTTAACATTAGGAAAATGATTCAGACTCCGAAAACGTGTGCCGAATTCATTCCAAATCATTAAAATAATAATTTAAATTATAAAATATTAAATTAATTTAAAAATTATTTAATATTTTATTTAAGAGAAATGATTCAGACTCCAAAAAACGTATGCCAGATTTCATTCGAATCACTAAAATAATAATTTAAATTATAAAATATTAAATTAAATAATTATTTTATAATAAATTTATTAAAAAATATTAATATTTTAAAGTTTCGAACGATATTTTGGACAATCATTTCGAAGGTTGTAACATAACTCTTAACATTAACGTGTCATAATTTTTTTAAGGCATTAGACGATAACCGCACTTTCTAACATGTTTGTTTCAGCTTAAATGTGAAATTAATTTTTTTTTTGAAAAAAAAGAAAAAGAACTCTAATTTACTTAAAATATTTAATGTTTCTAAAAAAAATACCCTTTTTTGGGGGAACTTTATTGTAGTCCATTAAAATTATAAATGCTATTACCTTTTGGTTTCTGAATTATGAAAAAAGGATATCAAAATTATATAATCCTTTTGGTGTATAAATGATAAGATTAAAAGTTAAATATGTATTTATGAATAAAAAAAATGCACTACTTGACTTGGTACCCATTAAAATTTAAGGCTATTCTTTAGGGGACATTCAAACAAACTGCAAGGGAAACAACATCCATATAAATACGTTAATCTAGATGCTTGCATACAACTTATTTGATTTGCACTAGTCTGAACTTGCGAAATGCTTAAAACTTGTTCCAGAGTACATAAAGAGCGAGAGTGCGAGTCTAATGACAATAACATAACATCAGAAAATAAAAACATGATATGCTCCTTCCTACGACATGGAAGCATACATATAGATTCACCTTTATTCACTTACGCTAATTTATTCCAACACAGGTGCTTCGGATTTCACTGGTTGCAAGACCTTGCTTATGAAAAACCTTAATGTTAGTTTTTGTTTTATACTTGTGGCTTGAACCTCCATTCCTCCGTTTGAACTCGTGGATCAAACTACGTACGTCTATAAGCAGACTGTTGGCGAGTATTAGATAACGTTCTTGACCATGACCATAATCAAAATCAGGACATCAAAAGTGGTGCTCAAGGAGTGACAACGTTTTTCTTTGCAAGAGGAGCAATCTCGTCACCATAAATTCTAGGTTCGCTGCCAGCAACCTCAAGGGTCAACAGCACCTTTTCCCATTGTTTGGCTGGTCCCTGTATCAGAATCACTCCAATGATAAGATAAACTGCATTTCCCTCCATGGCTCATGCCTTAAAGAGATGTAACAATTTTGTGCAGTGTGCTATAAATAAGCAAAACAAACGTTTCACACAGCACCAAACTGCAAGCTTACCTTCCATGAAAAGTCTTGGGCCATGCAGTTCTGGATCATTTGTTTCATTGCTGAGGTACCATAGGCTCTTAGGGCTCTCTTTATGGTAGTTGTCAACTTTTTCACATCAGCTTGATCAACAGATTCACACTACAGAAAAACCCCAGTTATGATCTTTCGGATTCATTCCTCTATCAAAATTATACAAGGCTATTTTTCTACTCTACTTACTTCAACATTGAATGCTCCCATGTGGAATCCAGTATACCCTTCTTTAACGGTGTCAACGAGACCACCAGTGGAGGAAACTATGGGCACCTGTCACAAACATTTAATGTTTAGAGTCAGAAAATGTCGTCAGGAACAAGAAGGTGTAGATGAGAAGGAAGTAGAGAAAAAGAGGCTCTTAATCTCTACCGTTCCATATGGCATGGCATGCAACTGAACTAGACCGCAGGGTTCAAATCTACTTGGGATCACCATAAAGTCAGCTCCAGCAATAATCTTGTGAGCCAAGGGACCGTTGAATTTTGCTACCCCTCTGGCCTTTTCAGGATACATTTCCTCTAGTTTTTCAATTTGCTTCTCCATGGTCTTTTTGCCAGTTCCCTGAAGAAGAAAAAAGGATATGAACCATCAGCATAACTTTGTTCTGGTAGCTTAGCAGTATCAGTGATATGTATTGACAAGACAAGAATAGAATCAAGACACGTACAAGAACTATAATTTGAACATCCTGGTCAATGAACTTTGGGATAGCTTCCACAAGAATATCTGAACCTTTCTGCTCTTCAAGCCTACCAATGAAGCCTATCAGAGGGATATTCCGGTCAACAGGCAAGCCAACCTCTGCTTGGAGGGCTTCTTTCAGCAGCAATTTTGCTTCGGTGACCTAAGAATATGACAGTTTTGATGAGCACGGACTAATTTCTATGCTCCATAACTCCATATCAATGAGAAAACCAAATTTATTAACAGAGAAGATACTACTTACAGTGGTTGCATCGTAGTGTAGATCTATGAATTTATCAGTTCGTGGACTCCATTCCCGACCATCCATGCCGTTCACAATACCAGTGATGCCACGTGTACGAATTACATTGTCCAATTCTACACCCTTATCCTCTCCGGAAACAAGTTCCTTGGCATAATAGGGACTTACAGTGAGTACTCGGTCTGATTCCAATATTGCAGCCTTCATCCAGTTAATTTTCCTTCCCTTCACAGGCTTATAATGCCTTAAAATGATACATAAGAAATATGAACACGGTTGGCTATGTAAACGTCAAGTGTATATAAACTAATAAACCCAAGACATGTTGTAAGTAATTTTTTTACAGATAGCGGTATCATACCCATCAGTGAAGGCAAAAGAGCTCCTGAAATCATTAGGTAAATTGAGAAGAGAGAAGTCCTCAAAGGCATGTCTACCCTGGTATGCTATGTTATGAATACAAAATGCAACCTACCATGATTGGCCAAGGAAAGTTAGTTTCCCTAGAATGATGAAAACAAACATGCAGAATTGATTTCATATACCCAAAAAGTAATAAAATCCTCACCTTAGCGTTTTGGTAAATCCCCCTGGGCTGGTACATTGACTTCAAGTAGCATGGAAGAAGGGCAGTGTGCCAATCATTGGCAATAAAGATTACATCTTCACCTGCCGGAAGACAGGAGAAGCTTGTAATAATGTTTTTTCTTAACCGAAGATTAAAGATCAAGGAATAAACTAGAGAGCCATACCATAAGGTCCTGAGAAATATTTGCTGCTGTTTAAGTTCAAAACCCTTGGTGCCTCAAGTGCAGCCTGAAAATTGTTAAACATATTGACAATGTCATATCCAGAGCCAATAAATATAAAGGTACTGTAATTCACAGCTATCAAATGCTAGTACCAAATAAATTCTCTTAACAAACATGAAAGTCAATTCAAATCCCAGGTCACATAAATGTAGCCAGCAATCATAGATTAAAACTGCACATGGCTGTTGTAGGGAGTCAACAATTTAAGACCGGTTGCCATTTCTTTTGAGAAATTAAATCAATTGAAATGGAGAGAGTAGGGGTAATTACGATTCAGTGGTTATGGAAATTTGATCAAATATCAAGACAATCGCTTACGATAGCACAGGGAGGAGAATGACCACGGTAAATATTAACTTATGAGCTTTGAGCCATGTACACCTTTTAAGAAAAATATTATAGTGTAAACAATAGGGAAAAAGTATAAGACAATAAGCTACCTGGCATAACAAGCTGTATCTAAGTTGGTTATCTTCATAATCTATTCCAGCCCTTGGGCCATAGAGTTTTGATCCAGTCTTGCCCCATACCTTTTAAAATCAAAACGCAAGAAAAATGTCAGTTTAACTTCAAGGTATAAGAGCGTGTTCAACCCTATAAACATTCTATTGTTTGAAATGGTTGATTGCAACAAAATTATATAACCTTCTCAAGGAAACATGGGTGGTCCACAAAAACACGATCAACTCCTCTCTTATAGCAGTGAAAGAAACGGACAGTTTCTATTCTATCTCCAACTTTAACCTTCCAACACAAAAAAAAAAAACAAACAACGAAACAGTTCAGTCATTAATAAGAACAAGAATTACCTAGATTTATACGGAGATACATGATGAGAACCAAAAAAGCTACCTCTACTAACACATTTGTGTCCCATGCATCCTTGTATTGGTCGTAACGCGGGGACACTGTCATAACACGGTGTCCATGTCCCTAAATTAATTAGCACAAAACAAGGTCAGATTTATAATAAGAATTTTTTTTTTTTTTGAAGGAAGGAATAAAAAGAAGAATGTTAAGACTTAAGATCGATATCCTTGGGATTAATTTCAAAGCAACTAAAAGTAGCAATATTTTATTAAATTTTTAAAAAAATAATGAGAAGAATGTTAAGACCAACATCCTTGAGATTAATTTCAAAGCAACGAAAAATAACAATATTTTATTAAAAATTGTTTATATGATGTAATAAATATTCGTTTTTCCAATATTATTATATTTAACGCTTAAAAATAGTTTTACGGACTGAAATTAACAAAATCATGTTATTAACAAAACCATGTTATTATTAATATTAATAAGAGAAAATAGAGTTTTTACTATAGATCTAATCGCAAAGTGAACTAAATTTATTAATTTTTTTCAATAATTACTTTTAAAATTATATATTTATCATAACTTTCGATTGATTATCTTTTTTTTTTGTGAACTTTGATTGGTTGATCCGTTAACAAATTAAATATTTATGTAGAAATTAATTTTATTAATAAATCACTATTTTGTAATTCAATCCAAACTATAACGATTTTGTATTTTGTATTTAATAAATAAAGGTATTTTTTGGTCGAACACTAATGATTTAGTGTGTGTTTGATTTATCGTGAGAAATCCTGACTTAGTGCATGTTTAATTTATCGTGAGAAATCAATCCTGACTTAGTGTATGTTTGATTTATGGTGAGAAATCACTTAAGTGATCGTTGAACATGAAAATAACAAATTACTACTTTTCATTCTGCCTTAAAATGAGAGAATTTCTGTTTACATAGACAAGTACTTATTCCTTGAGAAACAAGATTCATTTAAGAAATTAATTTGTTTGGATAAATATTTTTTGGTATATACGGATCCGTCTCATCTGGTGGCAAACATGAATAACTTGAATGGATTTAAATGATAGTTTAATAATAAAATGAGAAAGCGATTATGAAAGTAAGAAGAGTCAAGAGAATTGACTTACAGCCAAAGCTGGTGGAAGTCCTCCAAGAACATCACCAAGACCACCAGTTTTGCTCCAAGGTGCCACCTCAGTCCCCACAAACACCAAGTTCATCCCACACTCAATCTTCCTCAAAGCTCCGTCACTTTCGGTAGACGCAGAGGTTTTGGATTTGATCGCACGTGTGGCTCCCACGTGCACCTTGTTGAGAGATCTCAAGCCATCGTAACTCAACCCCTGGCCGTTGAGACTCACACTCACACTCACACTCACACTCCCCTGAGGCGAATTCAGCTTGGCCTCCGTTCCCCACGCGCCACACGCGCTTCCCGACACCACGTAAGAGGCCGTCACTGTCGCCATTCTCAATTCACGCCTTCTGCATGCATGTCACACAATAACCACACTCACACCATTTGTTAAGAAATTAAAGCAACACTGAGAGAATCCGTGAGTAACGGAAATTAGTTAGAGAGGAAGATAGAGTTACTCACCGATGACGGAGGAGCTGTGAGTAAGAAACGCCGACTTAGTAATTAAGTGCACTGTGATTTAATTAGAGACTAGAGTGGCATGAGGAACGGGAAATGGGAGTGGCTTTTGTAGCATAACAGAGCCTCCCTCCTTGGCCTATTATGCGCCGACACGTGGCAGAGACCGAGGGATTTTATGCTAGTGAGACACATCACACGGGATTCTAGTGAGAATTTGCGTTTTAAGGGCAATGAGTTTCTCATCAAAGATTTTCAAAAGACACGTATGAGCCAGGTGGTGTTGCATCGAGCAAATTTGGCAATGCAACATTTGAGTAATTCAATGAACCAAGCCTCTCTATTTTTTTTATTTATTTTCTTTTGTGCCTTGAAAAATAAATGTGGTTTTATTTTTTCTATGCCGTCAAAAATTATCAGAGGTAGCCAGAAAGGAGCGACAAGCGCACCACCATGCCCTACAGATTCATTTGGCAATCAAACAAAAATGCTGCAGTGCTGGAAATATTCCATTTTTATAAGCACATAAATCAAGTTTATTTTTACTCAAAATACTACTACTATAAATATGCTCACGCTTCCTCACGTGATATAATTTGTTTTATTGCACGTGTCTTCTAGTTCATGATAAAAACATTTACTTTTATTTAATATTTTATATTAATAAAACAATAACTCAAAAATAAAATTATTTTATTAACATGCATTAGGATGAAATAATACGAAAACATAATTATAATAAGCTCTTACCATATAGTTAGTACTTGCTAACTTAATATATGTAAATGATAAAATTATTCTATAAACAGTAACAATAATCATAATGTAATATAGTGGTAGCAATAGCTGTAGTTATGTTATGATGATAATATTGATAATAACTGCTTGCAATGAAAATACTACTACTAATTCACATGGGAAATGATTGTTTTTATAGACAAACGAGTCATGATCACTGTCCGATTAGATTTTTAGGGCAATTAAAAAAAATAGATTTATTGAAAAGGACAATGAAGATTTGCCAAACAAGCCGACCAAGCTGTACCAGAAAATGAAATGTACTCTTTCAGCAAAAATGAACGGCTGAGGAGGAAACACAATGGAAAGGCGTCACTTTCTTATTATGCTTAAACTATTCATTTGTATTTACAGTTTCATTAGTTTGTTTTAATTCGCCTGATCGATTCAAAATGTGTATCTATTATAACTTTTAGTCATTATAATAATTAAGTTAAATTGTAATTTTTATCACCTATAATAATTAGTCCATGAGTTTGATCCCTTAACTTCTTAATTTTTTATTTTAGTTTCAATTTTATAAAATTTATAATTTTAATCTTGAGGTTAAGAGTGTGTTTACTAAAATTAACTTATAGATTAGCTGAAAATTATAAACTATAGCTAGCAGCTAAAAGTGAGAGAATGGTGGGATGTGTAAAAGAGTTTGTACATACAAAAAGTATAAATAAATAAACTCAAGTGAATTAATAAAAATATAAATAAAAAAAAAGAGAGAGAAAAAAAGCCAATTAAGAAATTATATACTATAATTAGCTTATAAAAATAAATTATAAGTGTAAAATAAGTTCTTATATCATACAAGTTTTATTTTGATTATACAAACTTATTATTTATGAAAGTTTATAAGCTTTTCAAATATCATGACTAACACATTTTAAATATTTATCTATTAACCATTAAAATTATAACATTGATTATGATGAAAAATGACAAAAAAATCTTGTATTTATGGATGTTTTCATATAAAAATATTTTATAAATTTTAAATTAATAATTAAGTAATATCCATTTAACAGGATGAATAATAAGGTATCCATACTTTAAAAATATTAAAAATATAATTAATTATATGTAAAATAATTTAATTTCACACTAAATATGTGTTATAAATATTTATTTTTAGTACAAATATATATTACAGATTTCTTTTAATATAAATATATTTTTGAAAATTATTTATTTTGTTTTATTTTATTTTTTTACCATTTTATTAAATATCCACAAATACTTGTAAATACTTCTGTCCATTGGTACTCGTTAAATGAATACTCACACTAAATGAGACGAGTAATAGGGATAACTACTCACTTTCGCCTCATTTCACCCGGTTGTCATCCCGAAATGATTATATATTAAATAAGTAACATGATTATCAATATTAAAAATATTTAGATTAAAATAGTAGTGATGATAATAATAATAACAATAATAATAATAATGATAAAAGTAGTTGCGATGATGGTTATGACTTAGTGATAATAATAATAATAATAAAGATAAATACAATACAGTACATAATAATTTTATTTTAATCTTTTAATTTATATTGTCTATTTTAATGTAAGAGTTGTTATTATAATATATATTATACAAAATAACAAATATAATAAGTATAACATGTATAATGTTATGTATTACTTTATAATATAACAACATGCATTACATAGTACTAATTTATATAATATTATATATTATATACAAAATCTATTAGTTTATAATATATATATATATATATATATTATAATATTTACATTCAACATTTTATATAATATATAATTATAATAATTTTCACACGAAAATTTAAATTATATTATTAATTAAAATATTTAAAAAGTGGTTGCTAACATTTTTAATTGATTCAGAGTTCGAGTATTTCTGGTTTCTACTCTTGATTGAAATGTTTCTTAAAATCCTTTTTTTTAATCTTATCAATATCCCAAAATTTGTCGGCTTAAGGCAGTTGTCATTTTATTTTCATTATTTATGTCATCAGATGATATTTTACGCTCTAGTTGCAATTCAAGAAGTCTAATCCAGTTAATTTAATAAAGTATGTGAGCTGTTATAGATCTCTTTAAAACTAAATTTCGTTTTGTACTGTATTTTTTTTTCCACAATCTAAACAAAAATTATGATTTCAAATCAATATCATTTCATAAAAAGTTATAATCAAAATTACAATCTAATTCCATATACCAAACAAACCCATGCGAAAACGAATAATATAAAATTTAAATATAATATCTCTTGCATATGAAAAATTCCATTCTAATTTACCGTAATATACATTCTTATGGAATAAATTTACATTAACAAATGAAATAGGCAATTTAACTTCAAAAAATTGTGAACCAGTTAGTTCACTTAATCCACAAATTTGGACAATGATAGAAGACTGCTTCAACTTAATACACATATATACTACTTTAACTTTTATTTTTATTCATTCAAGAATGATTTTTTGAAACATATAAGACTCTTATAAAATTTACATGTGAGTCATTATTGTTTAACCTTTTATTATTAATATTTTATAACCAAAGACATAATGATATTTTAATGTTAATTTAAAAATTCACCTAACTTTTATATCTTATAATTTTATATAATTAAATTATTAATATGATATAATATTATAAATATAAAGAAAAAAATACATGCATGTGTAAAAAAACTATACTATTTAATCACAAACTTCCATGTATGACAAGTTTGTTAATTTCAATAATAATTACCCTACTAGTTATATCAAAATTAATTTCAAGTATATATTATAATAACAGTGCATAACTATATATCCATTAAACTTCAAAAAATCGCAATTCAACCACCGGCCCTGCAAAGTTTTGACTGGGATAATTCATCGATCACCGGTCTTCTCATTTTATCTACAGAGGCATGATGAACAGAATAAACATCCATGCAACGAATTTTTGAGGACTACCACATCTTGTTCACTGTATTTTTCAAAGTCAAACGCTATAAACATAAGAGGGTAACAAAGAAGATGGAAGGGAGAGCGAGTAGTGAAAAAACATGAACTAAAGAAAAACCTGAATATTGATGTTATTCTTGCAGTACAAGAATTTTAAAGATACAATGTACCTATTTCCAGTTAAAAGCTGCCTCATAGATCAAACAAATGGGGAAAGAATAATACCATTTCTCTTGAACCATGGCTGGCTGCCAACTAGACCCAGAATAAACAGTTGCTCGAAAGCAAGAAGTGGTATCTCAATTTCTAATTCTACTATTGGCTGGCAATTTCTCAAAGCAAAAAGCATGATGTATCACAACCTCCTTCCCATTTTTGCAAACCTTCGGGCTACTCCAAATATAACTGCCTTAGTCAGTAATCCTTGATCAAGAGTGCAGGCAAGGGCAATGGCTCCACCAACAATTAGAAGTTTAGGTATGTTCCTCCCAGCTGGTTTGTCAGAAGTATCCTGATTTTCAGTCTCCAACAAATCACTGGTTGTGTTTTCTAGAGAACTAAGATAATCCGCTGTTATTTTAGTGTTGATCTTAGCGGCACAAGCACAGCGTGATAATGGAACACCAGAATCCCTTTCTTTCTGATATGTCCGTAGTCCTGGATCAAACTTCTTGACAGCTCCCCACATACCCTGTCGAACTCCAAGCTTAGCAATTTCCCAGGGTATGCCCATATCTTCGTGATGAAACAATAACACTTCGCATGAAGTCAGCTGACCATCTTTTCTTGATTTAACTGATCCAGATAGGCAACAGACGCACATAAGTCTCTTGTCTATAAAACCGCATTAATGAAAACAAAAAACAGAACTTAAAGAAGGGTTTTCCTATTATGCTCCCATTGCCACTAGAAGAGAAGTCAAAAATAGAAAACCTTTTATTCAAAGAAAAGTAGTTATTATTTATTTATTTTTTTAGAGGAAAGTAGTTATTATATTAAAAACACAAAAGTCGTTAAATATTTATTTGAGTAATTAATTTAAAGTATTTAATAGTGTATTTAATGTTTCCATACCAAGTGCCCACAAGCACAAAATAGAAAACCCATTAAAGATTTCTTCAGCATCCCAAGCTAAAAATCCTACTTTAAGGAAAATAAACAGAATACAATCATGTTCCATCATTTATACGAAACCAAAACCAGTTTAATTGAATCCCAGTTGGATTCCAAATTTGAGATTTTTTACAAGACAATGCAAGTAGAGAGAGGAGTAAATTCTAAAATTGAGTCCCCGAGGAGTAGACAGAGAACATGGAATGCAAGTAGGTAAATATTTTGGAGATGAGACCAGCATTCTAGCAACATTTATAAGACCAACATGATGTACGGTTATAAAATTTGGGCAGTGAAGTGTGAGTGTCAAAGAGAGAAAAACAATATATGCGGCAGAGATGAGGATCCTCAGCTAGATGAATGAACATACAGGAGAAAATCAAATTAAGAATGGCATGAATGTAAAAGAGATCAAGTTTATAGAATGTGGGTAAAACTAACCCAAGGGTGTTTGGTACTTTGATCATTACAGAGGAAGAACAAATCAAGGCTCCAGAGAGAAAAGTGCAACAAACAGCCCAATTAAAAGGAATGGAGCAAGACCTCAGAAAACAAGGAGTAACTATTAAAATTTAAAACGACCTTGCTCTAAATGGTTTCACTTAAATTGTGTTATTAATGGAGCACACTGACATTGAGTGATCCATTTAAGGCAAAATAAGGCTTGGTTATTGACAAAATCACTAAGATAGCAAATGGTAACAAACCTAATATGTCTAATCTAAAATACGTCAAAGGTTAAATCTACCCTAAACGTCAAGATTCTGAAGTAGTACTACACTATGTCTCTTAAAACAAGAACCATTTCAAAAAGAATATTTGAAAGCCTTAAAAAAAAATTACATATATATGTGTGTAAAAAATAAATAAATAAACATCCAGGTCCAAGTACTCAATTCCAAACTACACATCGGCAAGCTTTTCTAAAACCATAGCTTATAATTTTAATATATACACATTAATAATTTCTTAACACATGAAACGCCAGTTAAATAAAGAGTGCTTTCACTAATTAAGCTCTACACTGCCTGTTACCTGCACGGATACACCAGCTTGAATAATATAGATCAACTCGTTTAGGTTTGTTGTGCCTTGGCATGGAGGGGCAAGGTACTCCCTGAAGAAGCAAAATAAGCCACGAGTTGGTGATAAAACCAAAATACTCAAACATAGAAAATAGAGCAATCTGTATTATAAACTCTATAAATCAGAGAGAAAAGACAGCTACAGGGAGTATTGTTGCAAAAAGGTCTGCAAAGAAAGAAAAACATGACTACGGTTGGAGCAATGCTCCTTACAAAATGGCAGTGAAAATGAAAAAGAAAAGGAAAAGATAATCCTGCACAGCGAGAAGGACCAACTCCCACCCTCAATGACTTTCCAATGATCCTTGATAATTCTCACCCTTCCCTCCCCATTCTATTACCCCCTTAATACATTCCTCTGATTCTCACATCCACTCCCTTTCTGCCACCTGTCCCCATTCAGTTATTCTCCCTCTCCCTCTCTCTTGTGTCACATGTTTGTTCCTCCTCCCATACACTTATAGACCCATTTTCCTCGCTTTGCCTCCGTTTGTACACAAAAAGTCTGTTTGGATAAGGTCCTCCATAAACACTTTTTAAAAAAAAATAACAAGAAAAATTCATATTAACTTCTCTATGAACTAATAAAACTAACATGTACAAGTTAAAAATAAGATTTTTGAGAAAGTAATAGACGAGAGCTTCTACAAATAAGTTTATGCTTAAGCTAATTTTAGCACACAGAGAAATTTATTTTATTTTATTTTTCCTTCTTAAAAGGCCTATACTTAATTAAGGGCTTATCAGTTGATACTCATACCACAAACCATAAGTACAACACATAAAAAGATTCTTCTTCAAATAATGAGAAAAACACCACACTCATCATCAACTATCAAACATCCTCCACTCTTTCAAATTATAAACAGCTTATTTAATTAACACCGCTAAGGACTCAATTCAGTTTAATAATTTGACACCAACCTTAGTGACACAGTAGTAAACTTGCCCAGCGTCCCAAATTCGGCGACCAATGACATACTCCCTATCACTGCAAAAGAAGGGAAACTGTTGCAAGCAAAACACGCCATGAGACACATAAAAAAAGAAGCAAGAGAAGTAGTTAGAACGCATAAGAAGCTACAGCAACCTTGCGCACCCAGTGCACCATCATTGCTCCGGTGAGGTCACACTCTTCCAACGTCGAAGCGTATATAAGCATGTCATCCCACTTCAACCGGTACTCATCGTCCCAGAAGAAATCCCTCACCAGCTCGGGACTCGCGTCCTCGAACACCGTCCTGCTCCGGTACTGCGGCGGCCCACTCTAAAACACATGCACCCTCGCTCGTCACTACGGAACTGTTGAATCAACAAGAGTAAACTAAACTAATCGAGTGGGGTAAGGCGTACCTCAGGATCCCTGCGCCACGCCTGATAACTCATGGTGGGGGTAGAACGGTCCATCATCTGAACCCACGCGGGGCCTCCGTCTTTCTCCTCAACCAACTTCCACAGATGCAGCAAATCGCGCTCCGTCACGGGACCACTCGCGCCCGCACTCGCGTCCTTCTCACGCGCGCTGCGAAATTAATAAATTAGAAACAAATGAAATGATTAGAAATTAGAATTGCGCATTGCATTGTATTGGAATTCGGCGATTTGAGAGAAGGCGGGAGGAAGCTAACCTTAAGCTGGGAGTGGAGTGGGGGAAAGCGGTGTCGTTTTGGGGACGGAGGTTGAGGCGGGAGGCCCATTTGGGCTTCCAAGCCCAGCCCACGAGGACGCCGAGGATGACCGCAATCCATAGCGGAGTGATGAACATAGCGAGGTGAGGGAGAAGAGGCATGGCAGCAGAATTTGGGGCAGAGAGAAAAAGATATGGGCTCACTCGATTGCGGGCGGATAAGGATCCCCAGATAAGCGGTCTCTACACGTCTACTCCCGATTATCGTAGGACCATCATCATAATAATATTCTTAATTCATTTCATTTTATAATGTCCACCATTCATATGAGTTTATGAGGACGTATAATATTGTGGTCCACTTTATTCCTTGGAAATATCATTAATTTCTTTTTTTTAGTTTCCTAATTTTCTTGAACTACTCCTTTTCTTTACAACTTCATGAATCATCTACTTCCATAACTGTGAGGTTTTATCCTACTATACGAACATAAAAATATTTTTTTTTTAAAAAGAAAATATGTATATAAAAGGAAAAAATAGATTGAAGTTGTACTTTTTTCAAGTGTTTATTTAGATTCACATTCATGTATTGTTATATCAAAATTGATGTATAAATAATTATTTTTATTTTTATTTATTATATCTAACTAAAATTGATGTGACTATATTTTTTTCTTACAATTTTCTTAATAACTTTTAGACAGGCTATTTATAAAGATTTGCAGGAAAAGAATAGAAAATATTTTATTCAATCACTCGCTTGAGAATACGTAAAATTTATATACTCAAATTAAAGTTTATTCGTATTTCTTTAAATAAAATAGAATTAACTATAATCTTCCTTTAAAATTTTAAATTACTTTTTTTTTACTTTTTTTTAAAATTACACTTATGTGATTAATATGTATTATGATTTTTTTTAAATAAAAATGAGTTTATAATTGATAATACACAATTGTGAACAAACCTTAAAATATTTTTAAAAAAAACTTTCAAGATTGCTAATGGTTAATTTTGAATGTTATATTATTACTATAATTTGAATAGGTGTAATATAATGTAACATTGTAACTGTTGGGTCAATTTTCCCTTAATGGGAGTAAGTAGATGTTATAGTGACCAAAGTTATTTTTCTCCTTTTTTCTTAGTTTTCAGTCTTTAAAACTTGGCTGTTGGGGGGTCCTGGAGGTTGGATTTTGCTTCAAACATTTGGGGATCCAAGCAATTGAGATTGTGAATTGGTGTGAGTACGGTGTTGTATGATGTCATCAGAAAGCTTCTTCTTCCTCTTCTTTGTTCTTGGTGAGCTCATAATTAAGGTAAAGGGAGCTAAGACTTAATCTTGGTGGATAGTTGTAAGGATTTCAATGTTGCATGTGTGGTATGAAGGTTCATTTGATGCATAATTGTTTGAATATTAAATTGATTTGTAAGGAAAGACTTAGTGTTCTTAGTTTCTTAAAGATTTTTGAGGTATTTAGGATTTTGGGAGAAAAGTCTTGTTTTATTGTTGGAATTGATGTACTCGTTGTTTAGATAAGATTTTATGGTTTATATTTGAATTTGGAGTTTGTAGGTAAGCTTGGATGGAATAAAGAGGTTTGAAAACCCCAAAATCGTGAAATAAAACAGAGATGGTCTCTTTCATAAAACGACTGAGCATAATTGAAAATGAGAATTAGGGGTGTCTCTAGAAGAATATAGCTAAGCCATTTTGAAACGATTAAGTGGAATTGGAGATGATAATTAGAGGGTGTTTTTGGAAGGAATCTGTTGAATGATTTTGAAATGGCTAAGCAATTTAGTACTTTCTGAATTAGACTTTGTTGTCTTCATAAAAGTTGTAGTATTGGATATTAGCTTTCTAGTAACTTTGGAATCACCTAAAAATGATGTCTAGAACTCAAGTTATGATTATTTTAGTGAGTGAAGACCAATTTGTCAACATTAATAAAAAAATGTTACAAATTTTATAATTTTTTAATATAGTAGATGATGAAATTAATACTTGAGATCTTCATAAGAGTTGTAGGTAATCTTTTTTCCTTTCATATGAGATAAGGACGAGCTTGATACGAGTAATATAACTCTCTCTATGATATTTTATTTGAAAGTTATCATTGTTGATTTTGACAAGTTGTATGTTGATACATGTTGTATGATAGGTGAATTTGGTGAACATGTATATAATATTTGTGTCTATTACATCTTGTATGATATATAATGATGATGATAACATTGGTATGGTATTATGATTTAGTTGTCTAGCATTGATATGCTATGTATGATGAATGTGCTAAAGTTTGCATGGTTGGAGTGGTGGATAGGCATTGCTATGTTATTATGATTAAGTTGTCTAGCATTTGTATGCTATGTATGATGGTGTAATTTGATCTCTATATGTATTGACCTAAGGTTATGTAATATAGATGATGAATATTGAGGTGTGGGTGTCGAGAATGCTTTGGGCATTAAGGCATGTTAGCTAATTTAGGACTTGAGTAGAGGAAATTATTTTTGAAAAATGAAGATCCCACCTAAGAAATCTTAAGTGGTGTTCAGGTAAACCCCTATTGGGAAACCCTTCTTAAGTAGATGTGTTTATTGGAGTGGATTTTGAGGTGTGTTGATATCTCCTCTAGGTCCTTAGTTTATGATTGAGTAAGGTAGGAAGTTAAAGGCTACAAGACTTAACCAAGTAGCTAGAAAGGTTGTGTGGCTCCTTGATGATAATGAGTGGATGAATTTCATTTGTGACTTGATAATACATGTCAAGGTCGTGATAAGTTTATACCTAGTTGTACAATTCCTAATGGTTGAACCAAACATTCCTAATGTGAGTGACAAAAACCCGAGAAATCAGAAGAGGGATTGCTATCCCATTTTGCTTTGATCGAGTTGACGCTTCAGATGCAAAAAAGATTGGATTAGTTCGATAGGATGGAGTCACTTTGACTGCTCATGTTGTTAGGAAATCTCCATAGATAAATGTATGACGACATATTAGTTGAAGTGTATGCATATGATGTGTTGTTGGTTGGTGTGTTCATATGCAATGAATGAATATATTTTTGTTTGATATGCCTTGGTGTGTAGCTTTCAAACATATTGGTATTGTGTTGTTTAGTGAATGTTGTAAACCGAGGTGTGTTTTGGTTAGTTTACATGTTGGTGAATGGGATAGATTTTTTTCATATACTAGTATGTTTTTGAAATCTAGCTTATCTTTGTATGTTCTTTTTCATGTGGGTTAAATTATGATGATCATGATTTTTATGGGAACAGGATAGGGTTAGTCGAAGCGGGTTTCATGAAGATGTTTTTGGGCGATGTAGTATTGGATGGCTTTTGATGGTTTGTATAGTAGTGCTTGATTGAAACTTAGGATTCTATATTATTTTATATTAGATGATTGTACATATGTATGTATTTATAGAGTTATTTTTAGTTTCACTTATACTTATATACATGTTATATAATGTGCATATCCATGTAGAGTGAGTATAAAATCTTAAGTATATGAGTAGTTCTACGACTAGTTAGAGATTTCACGAAATGTAGTGGGTATGGTGGGTTATTACATATAATATCTTAAACATGATATATTCACTTTCAAATATCATTTATAATTACATAATACATTTTTTTAATTGATAAAAAAATATAACTTTTCCCGCCAAGAGAGCCTTATAGAGGAATAGTATCATCAATCACAACTTTATAGCCAAGTCAATGAACAAACATCGAACCCTAACTAAAGAATCCAAATATCAAACTATTTAAATTATTTTAAAATTTTAATTCAATAATATTATTATCAACTCATAATTATATATTAGTAATGATGATAAGAGATAAATTAACCCTAAAGAATAAATTATATTATCATAATTAGATTGTAATAGTATACTCAAGTCTCATGTTCTAATCTATTGTCAACATTGTAATTTTTATGGATAAAAATTTAATATCTTATGTTGGAAAATAATTTTATAAGACTTTCATTATTTCTTTCTTTTTTATATTTTCTAAATGAAGAAACATGTTATTTGATTTAAAATTTATTGAAAAAGTAAAATCCCAATCCTGATTGTTTTAATTCCAAGTTTCCAACATTTTGTTAATTTAATGAGCACACTTGTAATTTATTGAAAAATTTAAATCCCAATCCTGATTCTTTTTAATTCCAAGTTTCCAACATTTTATTAATTTAATGAGCACACTTGTAATTATTTTATCCATAGCCTCCATTTGGTGCCACAAAAGAGTGCAAGAGCCTGAAAATCAAAGAGATTATATTGTACAAGATTGTTTGGGACAACTAAAGTGTGCAAAAACAAAGGAAAGTGTAAATAAGTTGTAAACATTTTTTTCTTCCACAGAAAATCAAAGGAAGGTGCAAAGAAGATCGGAACATAAAATAATAATAATAATTATTATTATTAAAATAATAAATATAATACCAATAAATTATTATTATTATTATAGCAATGTATAATAAATTATTATTATTATTATAGCAATGTATAACTTTTATTTATTTTTAAAGTAAATAGTTTTAAATCTAACAAAAAAATATAATTATAATAATAATAATAATAATAATAGATGAATAAAATATTAATAGGTTAAAATTTTACTTTAGTATAAATTAATTAAAAATTTGTCTTATCTTCGCTTTTCTTCTACTTTCCTTCTTTTAATTTCTTATCTACTCCTCTTCTTTTATTTCTTTCCTCTCTTCTAAACATAAAGTTAGTGTACCACCCAAAGTTGAGATAATGTGCAGATGCATTACCAAATACATCAGATTGATTTCTGCTTATGACAAATGCAGTCCAATGGCAACAATCATGGACAGGAGTATCAAATTTATTTAACCTAAGGCTCATAACACTATTACTTTGGATTTTATGACTAAATATAAAATCGATAATCAGATGGAAGTTGCGATCGTGTCTTTTCAGAAGAAAAAAAATTGTACAACATTGTTCTGAGACAATTGTTCAATCTGTCCTGAACAAGATATAGTATATATTACATTCTCGAAAAGAAATTCTAGATACTTAAGGATAAAACTCTAACTGATAAGATAAAATTAAATGCTAAAATCACACACAATACAGCAATACATTTGGTGTTTCAGAGACAAGTCTCGTATTACACAAATTTAACAATAAATTTACTATCCCAGAGACTACGGTCTCCTTATAAAGAGTATTCTCTGTCCACAGACTGATTAACTTCATACCCAATTTCACAACCTATCAAATTATATTTTCAAAATATAACTGCCAAAAGTTATTTTTTTACACCACTGTCATTATTGTCCCTGATTACCATCATTCCTACTCACTTGAGCAAACCACACACATTTTGACTGCACTCTTAATCAATTTATTGAGATAAAAAAAAATATCATGTCAAACACCACCTTCATAATTCAAAAAAAATAAAGTTGAAATAGCCATAACATCTAAGCGAATCAAAATATAAGTACGTAAAAAATGATGCTAGAAACCCCACATTTGAACATCCCCAACCGTAGATCTATAAAATATTCCCCCAGAGCAGGAAGCACATCAACTGCGTTCTTCCAAGCTATATCCTTCACACAATACAGTGAAAATTTACAGGAAAAAAACAAAATACATTTTAAAGCAGAACTTTGGTTCTGAAACTATCAAAAGTACTGTTCTCCTCCACCAAATTGAACAGCCGGATCAACCCTTACGGCCTTACTTGTCATCATTTATTCAACTGTCTTCATCAACCAGCTTGTAGACGCTGAAGTGGTTGACCCTGATCTTCCACTCTCCTTTAGCAGGATCATATGATACAAATTCAGCACCTTGGTCCTCGGCCTTTCTCTTGAGCATCTCCTTGTATTTCTCTATTTTTGGCCCTTCTGTATACTGATGTCCAGTTTTTTTGTCAAAACATTTTATGTTGAGCAGTGTAACCTCAGCAGGTTTATTCAGCCCTTGTCCAACAGGAGGTTTCTTTGAATCATCCATGTATACGATCACCTCCCGATTGTTAAACTGAATGAGGGCCTCAAGATCAAGCCCTCGTACATCTGTCTCACCCAAAAATCTGATACTTCCATAACCTTGCCTTCCAACCACAAAGTCCTTAACATGACTGCAGAATCCTGGTTCAGCTCTTTCCTTCGCTGCCAGTTCATGTATTCGAGGTAGTGTGTAGTAATCAGACCGCCGCAGTTTTGGCATTAGTGCCTCAACATCAGCTCCATGTTCATATACAATGGCAGCCTCACCAGCTCTGTGACCACTCAGTGTCTTGTACATGTCCGCCTTTTGTGGAGAATGATCTTCATTACTCCCATTGGATGCTTGCTTTATCGTTGTAGTCTGAGCTTGCTCCTTGACAAATCCATTTTCTACTGCACTCTCTGGAGATCATCAACAGAAATTATAGATCCAAAAATCGTGATGTTAAATTACAGAATATCAATAAACTAGAGCTATATTTTATAATTAAATCAAATACTAGACATTCATAAGGAGCACATACTCTCTCTATCTTTATCCTGTGAGCTGGTCCTATCAGGCGTTTCACATGCCTCTTTAGAGATATTTCCTGAACACGACAATTAAAAATAAATAAGGGCATGTTTGTCAGCACATTTTATGGTAAAGGCTATAACTTAAATAAAAATAAATCGTGATTGCACATATATATAACACACGTGTGCACACAATAATTTTTGAAATTACATCCAGCTACAGTTGCAGGATTTGTACGCTACACATCCAGAAGGTTTCAAAAACTATTTGAACTGGTACCCAATGTCCTAGAGCAGAAATAGATTATTTCCATCCTAGCAAACATTGGAACACAAATCTTTGAATGGCACATATTAGAACCAAATACCAAATGAATACTCTTACTAAAAGCCAAGTAGCAGTAATACAGAACAGTAATGCAATCAATAAAAAAAATATAGTACCATTCTCATTCACTGGGATGGATCTATCCTTAAAAGTTGATGCCTTCTCAAAAGCTTTTCCTGGCCACTGCTCCATGGGACAAATGATCAATGCCCTTGGATTTTCTCTAGGAATGAACAGAGCATCAGCCTTGGGTGTAGATGGAGTATCCTCATCATCACTAAAGAATGGAACCTGAAAGAACAGAGTATGTAAGACATACCATATTCAGATCCATGAAAGAAGAAGTTATTATAGTAACCTAGATTGATAAAAGAGCTACAAATACTCACCTTTGGACCATCATTCTTAGAATGATATCTCCTGACAGGAAGCCTGATTCGTCTTTGTGAGAGATGCCGAGATGTCAATAAAGATGATATTCTAACAGGAGCAGGTTTGTCTAGGGCCTGAATGAAATGTCATATTGAAACTCATTTGCTTTCATTAAAACTCAAACCACAAAAATTAAATAACTTCTGCCTGAGTTAAAGTACAAAAGCACCTAAAAACCAACAAAGTCAAAAGTTAAAAACAAGAAAGGGCATTTTACAGGCATGCTAGAGATTCCATATTGAATTGAAGGAGTGGTTCCAACTCGACCAATTGACATCTGAGGCAACGCAGGAAGTGTTCCAAATGGATTTGTATTCGGAACTGCTTGTACAGCCACAGAACTCTGGGTATTAGACCTGTCAATCAAACAATCCAAAATAGTGAAAAGAAAAACAAATACAATACCCAAATTCATTTAAAAAAAATGTCATTATATTCAAGAGAAATAAAATGGTACATTATATACACAAGTCTGAAAAGCAATGAAGCCTAGACACTCCAAAAATTTGAAAGTATCAGTGTCATACTAGGCTCCATTACCAATATACATGTCCTAGCTACATATCCAAGGACCATCCTCTAATTTATTGACTGATATGTTTGGGATACAGCTCTTATACTTTGAAAAAGATTAAAATTATACAACTCTATCTTTCCCTCTGTATTCTTAAGCTACAGTAAATCGACATTTGTTTGTATAGAGTCAATACTTCTGAATAGGACTAATGATGGTTTTGGAGACATTCTAACGAAGGATATGGCAAATATGTAAATTCTTGTTGCATGGTCATACGGGAGGGAATATATTTTGATGATTAAGGGTAATAGACAGAACGTAACTATGATTTTTGTTTTGATCACAAGCATATAGTTTTGATCACAAGCATGGTAGATGAATCGAAGGTTAAATTGTATATCAGAAAGCCTAGTTTCCGAATTGTGAATCAAATTGTAGTGTGAATAGTAAGATTCATGATCTATAATAAAACATAGCATAGACAATTAACAAAGACATTAAAACATATTCATGATCAATAATCTATGAGCATGGTATGTGTGAGTTTTGTTAAAATTTATTAAAATCAAATGTGTTTCAGATGTCCACCGTGAACAGAGACAAGTAAAAACTGCCTCGAGAGTGATCCAACCTGTTTTGGAGTGATCCATTTCAAGCAAGAACCGCATGATTCAGATACAGATCGTGATTCATGCAATTCTGGCATGATTCAAGTACAAAATCGACACGCAGCACAATTCACATTGTTTGCCATCTATATCGTATCAAATCTAATGACAATGATCACAAGTATTTTTCTGTAAATTATGATTATTGTCCATTTATATAGCCTAGTATTATATTAATGAGAAATAGTCAATATATCTTCATGTTGTGGATTTATGTCACAATAGTTAACAATAGATAGCGGCCAGGAGAGACCGCCCCAAAAAAACACTAGTGGGATGGCAGCTAATCTAGCTTTTTCAATATATATTTAATATTTTAATTTATTTCTACTTAATTACTTCCTTTATATCTATATATATAATCTATCTATATATATTTATATGTTAAATATTTGACTCTATTACTATATTATATAATTATGTATTAATATTTTCTTTATTGAAATATTATAACAGTATATGATTAATAATAAAAAAGACAGAAGAAGAAAAAACCTCAATTGTAGGACTGATTGAGGTGAAGAGTGGCCCAAATTGGGGTGAAGGCACCCTTCTCACCCCAAAAAAACCCTAGCCTCTTTCTAGTTTCTCCATTAGTCCATTACCCCGAAAAATAAAACCTACCCTTCAATAACTAAACACCTCCTTGCCCAATCATTTTATCTTTCCCAGTCAGAAGTTGCACAGTGATGGTACAGGTCACATACTGTCTGGCAACAGCACAAAGCAGCTGCAAAGCCTGAACATCACTGCAATTTCGGCAGCGACATGTGCCATGATGGCCAGGCGCAACACAACAGCCTTGAAGGAGTGGCAGCATGCTCCAATAAAACACTCCAGTATGATAGCGCCGCTATTGTGCATGATTGGATACTATGATTTATGTAAAGAGTTTTTTTTTTAATTCATGTTAACATATATAGATCATCATATTTTGAATATTTAAGAATTTCCTGTATGTGTCACATCATTATAATACTTGTGTCATATGAAGAGTGTGGGGGCTTCAGATGTCAAAAGACTCAAAACTCACATCCCCTTGGTCACCCCCAAAAGGTAAAAGCATTTTGAACTAAATGCAAGACTTCAAATAATTGTAACTTACTGAAGTCCAAAATTATTCTGACCAAATATGCCTGGAGTGCCACCAAAGCTGCTTGCACCAACTATTTAAGACCATACAATAAAAAAGTTAATTCAAAACATTAAGCCTTCAATCATTAAATGAAACAAAACAATTAGTAGTATAAACTTTAGATAATATATTGAACTAACCAGGTTGTGTCTGGCCAAAGTTGCTAAAGCCAAAGGCACCACTCGACTGAGCAGGTTGTGCAGGTTGGAAAGGTGTTGAAATTGATGGCTGCAGATATGAAGTCAAACAAAAAAGAGTCAAAATACTGTACAAACTTGAGCATTTATTTTCTCAACAGGGAAATCACTTCACACGCACAAGCAATGGAAACTTGAAAATAGACAAAGAGATTATTCAGCAAATTAACAAATAGAGATGCTAAGTTTAATCACAATTATCAACAAGTAAATTAGTTAATTTAAAGGATCTTTAATTTTGCTGTGTAAGTTAACACACCAATAATTCAAAGAAGGTGCAGTGTGCTCCTTGTAAAGAAAAATAAACAACACTCTACTAAATCTACAGGTTGATAAATGTGAAATATATTTGTATTTAGGTAATAGGCATGGGCGCATGGCAGATATGTAGTCCAATAGGTGGTAATTGTACAGCCATTGTTCAGTTTGCAACAGTTCATTTAATATTTTTAAACACTAGTTTACAGATGGTTTTACCCTTTTACTGATTTTCTTTTTTTAATGGAGCAAAAGGGAGTTGACAGGTCCATTTAACCAGTCCTGCCTAATAAGGTTTTTGTTGTTGCTGTTGTACTAATAATTTATATATGCAATATTTATAGAATACTGGATTAGTATAATGTTCAATAAGTGTGTAAAGTATAAAGCTCAAATATGACTCCAATTTATCTTGTCTCATAAACAATGACTTTAAAGAAAAAATAATAAAGATTTTGTACGAGAAAAACATTATCAAATTCAAATGAAACTACATACCGCTGTCTGACCAAAACCAGTCAGATTATTCGAAGTGAGCGATGCACTTGATGAGAAAATGCTTCCAACAAGCCCAGAAGAAGGTGAATTGAACAAGCTTGATTGACTAAAAGGTGTAGTCTGCCCAAAGGGGGAGGTATTCTGTCCAAAAGTAGAACCCGTCGGTGCAATTGTAGGAGCTGCAGAACTAAACAATTGGGATGACTGTGTGTTGCCAAAAATGCTCGTGCCAAATGGTGAAGATGAAGCCTGAGCAGGAGCAGTATTAAACAGGGACGTAGATTGACCAAACGCAGAGTTGGCTCCAAATGGAGATGGGGATGAGCCAAATATTGAAGGTGCTGCTGCTGATGTTGAAGAACCAAAAGCCGATGAACTGAAGGCAGGAGCAGCAGAAGTTCCAAATCCAGAAGAAAAAGGTGAACTCTTTGGTGCAAAGGGGTTAGAATTAGGTGTTGTCGTAGAGAAAGGATTGGCTGATGATTGACCAAACACCGGTGAAGGAGAAAAGGCATTTGTCTGTGTTGTAGATGAACTGAAGCCTGTCAAGCCAGTTGACTGAGCAGAGGGAAGTGGTCCACCTAAATTTGAATTATATATAACAGATTAAGTCAAGGTCATAACCACTGCAATGAAAACCAGCAGAATTAACAAATTATTAAAAATCATAAAAATAAATAAAACCTTTATCCCCCAATTGATAGTCCTCCCATCTTAGCTCCTCGTGGCTTTTATCTTTGTAAATAGGCATGGCAGAAATGGACTCCAATTTTGCAGTTTGTCCAGAGGTACCACTATCTGCTTCAGTTGTTGCTGTGTAATTAGCTACTCTACTTCCACCCCGTTGACCTCCAAAACCTGACTGCCCAATACCAGTATTTCCAAAAGTCGATGTCGGAGTTTGGGATCCTGCAAGTAAAAATACAAGAAAATCACTTTCAACTACATTTGCACAAGATACTAAAAATCCTTGTATCTTGAAAATAGGTATATAACATAGTCAAAATTCTGATCGTTCTTGATCTTACCAAACGCAGAACTCTGACCTCCAAAGGGTGAGGCTGTACTTCCAAAAGGGCTGCTACTACCAAATGCAGAAGAAGACTGACCAAAAGCTTGAGCAGATCCAAAACTAAACGATGGGGTACTAGAGGCCCCAAAAGCAGGAGTACTAGAGGCCCCAAATGGAGAGCTTGAACTGCCAAATGCAGATGTACTTGATGAACCAAACATGGGGTTACTCGAAGCTCCAAATGCTCCCCCACCACCAAATACAGGAGAACTTGATACCCCAAATGCACTACCTGTGCTACCAAATGTAGGGCTAGAGGTCGAGCCAAAGGCAGGGGTGCTAGTAGCACCAAATGCAGGGGTGCTTGATGCACCAAAAGCAGGAGTGCTTGTTGCACCAAATGCAGGAGTGCTTGTTGCACCAAATGCAGGAGTGCTCGTAGCACCAAATGCTGGCTGAGATGAAGCACCAAAAGGTGTTGAGGAGCCAAATATGCTGCTTCCAAACGCTGGTTGTGATGGCTGGGTAGCACCAAATGGACTTGTTTGAGTAGTAGATCCAAAGCCTCCAAAAGCAGGCTTCTGACCAAAAACTGATGATCCTAGAAAGCAAAAGAATCGATTATCAGATTGAATTAGAAAACTGTTGGATAACATAATGAACAATGGAAGAAAGCAAGTCAAATGATACTAATGACCACCAATCCATTATAGATATAAAGAACTCGAGAATTCCATAAACTACCTGGTGTAAACCTCAATTGTTAAGCTGTGTAGTTTTTAAGAATTCTAAGGGAAATTAAACTAGTAATGAATAGGGACCACATGCAGCTAAAAGGAATGCCGCCCTTTCATAATATTC